AGCTACGAAGGATTTTATTTCTTCGAGGAATTACACCGTCAAGCGTCTCAACGTTTACAAGAAAATCTTTATTTTCTTCTCTCCCTTCCTCTCTCTCTCCCTTCCTCCTCTCTTTCTCTCTTAGAGGACTTTTAGAGGACTTGGCTTGGCTTGTTTATGACAAGCTGACCCTGATGATATAGTTGTGCAAAATATAGAAAGTTGACTTCGCTTTACAATGGTGCCAAAAACTTGATGTGTTATTTTATGAATAAAAAATTTAAGCAATTTATGTAAAGATTATAAGCAAATTTACACATCGTTATCAAGTAATACATGACTTTATATTTAAGCCGCAAATATCGATCCCACGAGGAAGGTTTAAATTTGAGATGATAAATTAACTAGGAAATTCACATCAATAAAATAAAATTATTATCACTAATTTTGAATATTTGATGTATCATCAGAACTAAATTATTAACTACTAGCAAAACTGAACTGCAAAGTTTAAATAGTAACTACCAAACTATGTTTATGTGATGAAGTTAATATGAAAAATATCTTTTCCACTACAATGAGTTTTTGGTAAAATGAGATAAAATAAAGGTTTCAAATATGTATTGTGTCAAATAGGAGCAATTTTAATTCTCTAAATCTGTGATTAGGCTGGGAGGATACTGGCTCTCACTTCAGAGCTCCTACTTCCCTTCCCCTGAAGGCTAACACTTACTTTAGTTCTTAAACACTAAAACCAAATTGGGGATTTTAGTCTGTTACCCTAAAATTCCAATTCTACACCCAACAATTTATATTTTCCTATTTATTTGCACTTAATTATATGAACAAAATACTTCTCCATGAAATTAAATGTGATTCTCATTATGTTGTAGAACTCATACTTCATTTCTCAGATCATATGTTTCACAACATATTTTAACATTTCAATTGACCATATCAAAAAGTAAATTAAGAACGGAGTTGAAAAACCATCACAATTTATTTTTTATTTTAAAATTGGCACATCCAAATTATCTCTTCATTTCACCATATCTCAGAGTACTGAGAAAGATAAAGGAAACTACTCAGACTTCATGAGAAAGATACAACAAAACACAAATTTTATATATAAAAGAAAGTTCATACAATAATAATAAACAAACAACACTTATCTGAAACTCTTTCTCAAACCAAATCTCTTGTAGCCTCTCTTGGACTCTTTCTCTATTTACAATACTCTTGATTCTCTCTTAGAAGATTTAGGAAGAAGAAATCTCTCACTTCTCTCCCTCTCTAATAACTCTTAGAAAATAATTCACACTTAAACTCACCACAAAAACTCAAAACTCTAAAAAAATAAATGACTAATGGACTTTAAGTGGTTGGGGGGAGTGGAAGAGGGATTTTTCTGATCAATTTTCGCTCTAAATAGAGTATAATGTTGGTTTCCAATATGAGCATCCAAAAACTCTTCAAAAAGCGTCCAATTTGTCGAATCTTCTAGAAATCGGTCTTGCACCGACATTGGCGCTGTCGGCGCCCATGGCCCCGTGAATTAATTTCGTGCTTTCTGTCAAATGGCGTTGTCTGTGTTGCTCCCGACGCCGTCGACGCTTAGGATATTCTGGCCTCTGTTCTATAAGTTTGTGCCGTCGGCGTCCATCCTGGCGCCGTCAGCGCTGAGTATTTCTTCAAAAATGTCATTTTGACTCCAAATTCCATCATTTTTTGTTTATTTTTGCTTCAAGTCCTAAAAATCAATAATCTACAATAAAACATGAAAAATACATTCCTTTAAAGTGCAATATCACAACATTCCTTTAAAGAAAATACATTCCTTTAAAGTGCAATATCACAAAAAATGAGTATAAAATATAGGTTTAAATATGCATATATTTTTTGTGCATCACAAGTCAAAAGATATTATTTATAGAAACCATGAGAGCGGTAGGAGGGAGGTAGATGAGCGGTGGGTGGAAAGGTAGGGGAGATTCTTAATTAGGAAAATAATTAAATTGTGGTGGACCGGGTCTTCACATTTTCACCACAATACCCAACATCAAATTCTACTTTTATTTCCTGCTCGCAAGTCATATTTTGATTGTTTGATTAGCTCTATTAAAGGCTTGGGTTTCAAGAAGGCTATGGCACAAAAGAATGATAGTAGTTATTGCAAATCATATCATACGAACAAAAAAAAAAGATTCATATTAAGTGTCTATCAATGTTTTAAAAGGCATGGGGGTTGGTATGGTATTTTAGTTGTTATGAGGTGAGGCGTAATCCCTAAGGCGTCGAGTGTGAGTCCCGCATTATAAAAAAAAATAAAGAATATAAATATTAAGATGAAAAAAAAAACTATTTGTGCATAATAAAAAAATTAAACACGAACAAAAGAAGTCATCTAAAATTAGAATCTTCAAGATACTGGCAAAAATCCACCAAAGAAATAGCAAAATATAAAAATAAGTAAACATGTTTGAGAAATAAATTTATGATCATTTGAAGTCAATCTTTGAAGGCTATTCATTCTTCAAATTCATCACCAAAATCTTCTTCTTTTTCATCAATAGTTGTTTCCAAATCACAACTGCATTCTCATCATGCTCAATCTCAGGTGCATTCATAATTTGTTTCTCCATATCATTGTTGCCTAAATTACAAGTTAATAACTAACTTAACATACTAAAAAAATCAGATTAAATCCACCTCTAGCATATTGCAAACATGAAATAAAAATTATGGTTTATTATAAGCATGAAAATAATTGTGGTTTATTGTAGCTAGAGTGATCTCTAGCAAACCTTTAACATGAAAGAAAAAAAAACAAGTTTGTGGTTCACTGTAGCAGCTACAATAAATTACTAAAGCTACAGAAACCTCACTGCAGCTGCAATGAAATGATGAATTAAAGACTCATAAAAGCATAAAAATCCGCAAAACAATCAAATTTCACTACATCTACTAACTCATTGGTTACAGTAAACAAAAAGAATCATAAAATTTCACTATATCTACACTCTAAAGTAACAAAAAACACTTACAAAAGCATAAAAAATTGCAAACCTCACTAACTGTGCCATAATGGGAGAAACAATGTGGGTGCAGGAGAGGAGAAGATACGAGTGTGGGAGAAGATGCAAACAAGCTTGATCAAAGCCTGCGTGCGAGATGAAAATCGCCTGCATGTCGGATGAAGACGACACATATGAGACTGAGTGCGAGACGAAGCATATGAGTCTGTTGTGGGATTACCTGTGTGCGACGGTGCGAGGGACGAAGCAGACGGCGGCGGGATCTTTTTCGACTATGCATGCAATGGAGAGATCAGAGTGCATGCGGGAGCAGAGTGCATGCGGGAGAAGCTCAAATCAGACAGTTATTTAGAATTAGAGATTCTTTAACCTTTTTATTCAATTAGGAGGCAGGGTGTATGCCCCATGAGGTCGTATTGTGCTCCAGTTCTTCCCAGGCATAAGACCAGCATGATTTACGCCCCCTCAAGGGCGTCGGGTGGAAGGCCTTACACCCCATCCCGAGGCTCGCCCCAAGCACGCACCAAAAACTATTTTTTTAAACAAAGGTGTCTATATATCAATCCTAAATGAGAAAAATATTTGGGTGGCTTATTTTCTCCTTCCATCCTTGGAAGCCTTTCTTCAAGAGATGAACTCAAACAGTGCAACAGTTCTTCGCTTATTGTGGGAAGCACATAAGAGAGCAGTGTACTTAAAGGAAACAAATTTTCTTTCAACAAACAAAAGTCATTACAAGGATGAGTGAGGGAGTATATATAGATTTGAGCATAAATTGAGCCAAACCAAGGAAATGGAAGAGGGAGGGATCATCCATGCATGGGCAAGAAGAAACCATGATGACTGAAGGAGTTGAATAACCAAATTTCATTTCCAAGGGACCTCAAGGAAGTTCCAAGGCATGAGCTTAATGCAGCTCAATTCCATGGCCTTTTAGTGGCTTATAATTAATACGAGGGGAAGAATGGAGCAGCCTAGGTATGAGGAAGGTGGTGTGGCATGTCAAAAAGCGAGATGGCAAAGAACTTAGTGATGTGAAAGTCAATATATGGGATGGCCATCAAATAGTGACCATAAGGGCCAATGCAAGTTAGTTGAGCTAAGCTAAGGGTAAGGACTAACTAGGTTAGTTCAATGCTCATGTCCAAACATCAATATGCACATGACATATAAATTAGATGACTCACAATATAAAGTTCAAAATACAATTGACTCAAGTGTTGACACACGAGCATGTTGACCTCATTTTAAAGTTTTTCTTTCTCCCTCTTCTTAGAGCATATGATCTAGCTTTAGGGTTTCCTATCGACCATCTTAGAGGATTAGTGATGAGACCCACACCATTTAGAAGCTCAAACCATCTCTTAACTCTCTTATGGGGCCTCATACGGGTGATCCCAAGCCATCCTCATTTGGTGGAGTGGTTATGACCTCAAGCCTTCACCACCTGGTTGAGTGGCTAGGATCACGTACCATCACCATCGGGTCAAGTGGCTGAGACCAACACGTCGGGGCCCAAGAGAATTCCCATTGGATTTAAAAGCTTTAGAAAATTCATTATGACTTTCGTGCGTACTCACAATACACGAACACCGCAATTCACATATTCACGCACATAAACACCAAAATTTATATCATCTACACTCGTAAATATTCACTATTAATCAAAACCAAAATCAATTTTCGAAACAATCAATCGCGAACTAAAAATTGAAGAAAACAAAATATGACACATTTTTATTCTGATCGTCGACGAAGTTGTCCGGAAGGCCTTGGATGACGAAATAGACAATGTCTGTGCGTTCGGAACGTCGATTATACCTAAAGAAGACATTCATATTAGTGGAGTTCAGAATAGAATCAAATAGCATTGAAATTGCCGAGTTCAAATAAAAATAATAATAAAATAAATAAGATAAAAAAAAAAACAAAAAAAAACAAAAAAACCCTACGTAAGAAAACTCATGCACGCTCCAGACACGCCATTCCTAGATCCCAAACACTCATTCGGCCGAAACCCTCCTCTCCCGAACATTCCCCATGCCCTTTCCCCTCCTTATAGCCGAAACTCCAATTCGGTCGAGCCTCGCCCCTCTCCAGGAACTCTTCGGCGCCCTAGCTCCGCTCTGTCTCTGCTGGCATCCGAACTCCCTTTTCCCCTCTCTCGATCAAAACTCTAGATTGATTCTCCTCCCCCAACCCTAGTCGCTCCTCATCAGGCCGACACTGTCCATTTCCACTTCAGGTGATGCCCTAGGAGCAGGTCTGTTCGCGCGCCGCATAGTTTCTCTTGACCGAGGTTCCTATTCCTTACTTCTTCCTTCCTGCACATCTTGCGAGAGGATCGGCTTGAGAAGTGCGGAAGGGATCGTAGCTTTGCTTGGCTGCACTGTTTTCTTACCGGTTTGCTCGACACTTTGCTTGGTTGCACTGTCTTCCTGTCGGTTTGCTCGACACCTTGCATGGATACTCTATTTTCTTACTTGTTTGCTCAATGTTTTGCTTGATTACTCGATTTTCCTGCTTGGTTATTCGGCATTCTTGCTTGGTTGCTCAATATTTTGGGTGGTTTGCTCGGTATTCTTATTTGTCGCATGATATAATTGCTGTTTGCTTGATATACTCGCTGGTTTGTGCGATATTCTTGTCTATTTGTAACTAGATGAAATGGTATACTTGCAAGTTGCCTGGTATACTTGCTGGTTGCTTGATATACTTGCTGGTTTGTGCGATATTCTTGTCTAGTTGTACCTAGATGAAATATATAACTTGAAGAATTGAAGCCACCTCACCTTGATTGCCCAGTTACATTTAAATTGCATGTTATGGATTATGCAACATTTGTGTGCTTGAATATTGAGTGATCAAACAGGATACTTTGAGAGAACTTGGTTATTACTTTTAATTTTTGAAGGCTAATGAAATGTTTAAGATTTGTTATTCTATCGAGTCGATTGCTTACTAGAGAATGCTTCACATTTGGGCTCTTTTAATCATGACTATGAGATACATGCCTTTATTATTACTCTGCAATTTTTGCATGATGCTCCCAAGTGTGTACATGTGCAAGGAAGTTCCCATATATTTGTAGTGTCTCCCATGTGCCTTGTGTTTCTTTTCCTCAATCACAGGAGCGATAGTTTTTGTGATAGATGCAGAGAAACACTCATTCTTACAAGTTTATTGGAAAATTTACACACATACTATACAATGCTTATGTTTTCTATATGTTCAATGCTTGAACTTTACTCTTTATATTTATGCAACTCAAACTCTTCATTACCTTGTAGTTTGAAATGCATAGTTTGAAATGCATCTTTTTGCAATGCATCTTTTTGCATAAGTGGCAAATGTGAGAAAATTATGGAAGAAACTTGCACCACTTTTGGGTTGATTTATCCACCATTTTCAGAACGTTAAAACGCCACATTTCTTTTTTGGGAAAATTTGAAATTGTAACGGTTTTTATTTTTGAAGGTTTGAAAACCTTTGGGGCATTGTTCTTTTTTTTTTTTTTTTGAAAATTTGAATTGTTTCATTGAAGTTGCCTTTTAAATAGCAAATTGGAAGTTTTAAAAAATTACTTTTACGTCGCTTTAAATGTTATATTCTCGTTATCTTGAAAATTTCAAATGCTCTTTTCGAGTTTGATTTGCTTGATATTTTGGAGGCTGATTTGATCATTGTTTTGAAAGAATTTAAACGTTTTTAGGTCGATTCATTTGCAGTTTTGCCCTTTATTTTGCTGATTTTACTTTTAGAAGTGGGTCGGTTTCCTCCATTTATTTTGTTTTGTTTTCTTTTTCCTTGCAAATGGTTGGTTAAAATGAGAATTTTGATTTAATTATTTACATAAAATAATTCACACTAAAAAAATAATGATAATTAGTCTGCTGAAATGATTGAAATCGAAAGAGAAATAATATAGCAAATCATTCACTATCTTTACATAAGAAGGATAAAATTGTAATTGTGAGAATTGTTGAGAGTTGAAAGAAAATAAAAACTTATATGATTCAAGAGTTAGAGATATGAATTGAAAGATTAGTAAGTTATTAATTAGAGCCCTAATTATTTGTTAGACTTGAGCTTAATTATTTTAATTAGGATTGAAACACATTTCATGAACCTTTTAGGCAAAATTATAAGTTTACCCCCTAAATCTTAGTAGCTTCATAGTGAACTAAGTTTAATCTAAAGATGTTTGTGGATTAGTTGAAAATCACTTAATTGAAGATAAAATACTTTAAACACTACAAGCTCAAGTTAAAGTGTAGGCTTCCTATATTTTATAAACACACTCTAGTTGGGTGTTCATCCACCTAATTTTTTGATGAATGATGAAACTAGACTTTTGATCTTATTTCATAAATTAGTTAAAACACTAAACATGAGGATAAACCAAGATGTGGTTCATAACTGACTTAATTAAATCAAATAATGAAATTTCCGACATAACTTAATCTAAAATGAAACTCAATATTCCGGGATTTGAGTTTGAACCTTATACGCAAATCCTTATGACAATTGAGGACATTCATACTGTCACATATAAATCATCTACCCCTGATCTTTTATACGTGACATCGTGTTTTGTTTCACTCGTTCATGTTTTTTCTACGATTTGTTTAAATCTCATTATATCTGATTTCCAAGCAATTTATTTAAATTTTTCTCGCATTACCATATAGTGTTTATTGTACTAACATTCTTGCAGTAATAATAAGAAGTCGGGTACATAAAGTTTACAATATGTTTATAGCGCTTTACTGTATTTTCTTTTACTTTCATTTACTGCACTTTATTGTTCTCTTTATTGTATTTTTTACTTTAATGCACTTGTTGTACCTCTAGGGTAGAGAATAGTATGACAGATGTTAGGAGATACACCGGGCCTTGAGACGTAACAATAATTATACTTGCAAATACAAAACATAGACTAAACCTGACGTCGATACAATACGAGGTTCGAAGCAAGATTTGTGGGCAGCACGACAAGGAACTCGGAGTAGGAAGCAAGAGGACGACTTCATGGGAAGATCAAGACACCACAAGAAGCAGATCAACTCCAGCATAACAAAATGTGAAATAGATCTATATCAACTAAACTATTCCTTAGTTTAAATAACATGCCATAAGACTTCAATGTGGTCTGTCTAGCGCGACATAAATCCTCACCTTATCTTTTAGGCATCTGCATAACTCTGTTATGCAATATAAGTCCTGACACTTTTTAGGATTCCGAGGTTGCTGTGCAGTATGACGTAAATTCTCCTATTTTCTTAGGCTATTTGCACGATCGGGTATCGTACGAGTGTAAGTCCTAAATAATATAATCGGCAGGATTAAACACTAAATAACTTCACTTTTAAGACATAAAGTCTAACATTATGATAGTTGGAAAGTCGTTGAGGTTTTCCTTAAATCTGTGAAATTCTCTACTTTTTCGCTCATTTGGACTCCTAAAATAACTGTTTTTACTTGAGTCATTTCTTTTTGACTTTCCTGTGTCTAATCTTGAAAACCTAAACTTTTGAATTTTGAAGATTTAACCACTGATCTTAATCGAGAGTTTTGTTAAGTGACCCCGATAAAATTAAATATAAGAGTTTGTCTGTATGGAAAACTAAGAACCCAGGTAAAATAAGCTCTATTTAATCTTCATACTGAGTATGAGAATTTATCGGCTAACATAAATGGTTCGCAGACCAGACAAATGTCATAAATTTTATAGTTTATATAATCAGCCCCCCTTCGTCAGGTAACATGTTTATCTTTTGAAATAAATGTGTGCTTGAAGGGGGATGTTTAATCATCTAAACTATAAAATATATGAGATTGTTTGGTCTCATATTTTCCAAAATTAAAATACTATTTTCCAAATCAAATTTCATATATTTATATTAAATTAAATTTAAATCATTTTTCAAAAATAATGACAGATAGAGCATCCTTAAAATAAAAAAAATAGCTGACAAAAAGTACAACAAATTCCTAGCTATATGAAACATAAATTCTGTGGCAATGATGACAATGACTTAGATGCCTTATATCACCAACTCATAAACATAATATATTCTCCAACTTGTGTGGGCTCTGAAAATGTCGTCCGCTTCTCGGGAGTTTGCATTTTACTTTATTATATTTTTTTGTTGTATTAAGAGCTTTAGAGGGACAAATTTTCAGAATGATGATTGTATTGTAGATAAGACACTACTCAGATATTTCACCCTCATTTTGCGATGACTTTTTAATCTGAGGTTTGAGGTTTCTCATAGACACAAGCTCTTATGGTTAATTACTCATCCTGATAACAAAAAAGGACTTTCGATTAAGTCTAGTCATTAAGAATTGAATATTCAACATACAATAGTAGCATACTTAGGATTTAATTTACAAAATTTATCACTTGAAGTTTAAAGCATATGGTGAGGGAAATGAAGATTAAATTCAATCAATATATCATGATTCTATCATCCCGGGTCGTCATGGTCACTGATCTACTTTGTCAGATGAGGTGATCGACTTAATTTGATTGAAATATCATTGTCAGCAATTATGGGTTGAGTCTTTCAAGGGATCTATGCATATTAGGGATGGATGTTTGTTTAAGGGGACAAATTTAAGTCTACCTTAGCTAACAAAATGTTTTATATCAATCAATTGTACCCTTATGATTCACAGTTTAAATTGTAGAAAGTCATTGACAAACATATGAACTACGACCGTGATCATAATATAATGATATTATTTGGTGACAAACACCCCTTTAGAGGACTGGTTGTAATCGCTAAATTGTGGTGTTATTTGGCTGCAAAAACTCACGAACAGAGGACTCGTGCAACATCCTTACTAGCATGTAATTTCTTTGATTGTGGTCATAAAAATATATTTGATATGACATTCACTCTTTATAAGTTGAAGTCAATAAAAAATTTGTCACCCTCGACAAACTATTGCGGAGGGTGGATAAATTTTGCTTTAAGTCTTTGGTAATTGATTTTAACTTAGATGTTTTAGTTTATTACTTTGAAAATTTTGATTTTAAAGATTACCACTCTGGTAAAAATCTTCAATCAAGTATTCATAATATTTATATTTGAAAGATCATTTATTTTTGTTAGTTTAGGCTTTTAAGATATAATTCATGTCGACTGCTGCCCTTATAAGAAAAAAAATCGGACAAGTTGGGTGAGACTTATAATCCTATCGTATAGACAATTCGATCTGATTAGTTCAATGCATTGGTTGAAGTACATGCGAGTGCTTAACCTTATATTTTTGAATAGCTTAAAGGATTTTATAAATTTTGAGAGTTTACACGACCTTTTAAACTAGGACTATGATAATGAAATTAACTTCAAGAAATATATGCCAAATTTTGAAATTGTGAATAATTGACT